TCAAACAATGTATAGACAGGCTTTACTGATTATAAGGGGGGTTTTTTGAGAGTGCTTAAACTTGCGCTAGACTGAAGTCAGTCATAATGTTCTTTGACAATGTAAATGTTCTTTGCTCGCTTTCTCTGTGTAATTTATTTGCTGTTTGAACAACTGTGCAAGGTACAGATAATAAAAAAAATTAATTCATTAGCTTATCCGTGAACATCCTCTTCCATAGCGTCATCAAGCTTTGCCTTTGTTTTGAAAATGTGACCTCTAGTGGCGAAAACTTACATATTGTGCCTTTAATCAATCTAATTTTGGTTAAATATAGTTCTTTCAAATGATTAATCGCGATTAATCGCTTCCAAAAATTTAGTTTTTGTTTACATAATATATATGTGTGTGTACTGTTTATATTTATTATGTATATATAAATACACACACATACAGTATATATTTTGAAAATATTTACATGTATATATTTATATTCATATAATTTATATTATATATAAATTAAAACTTAACATTTTTCCTAAATATATACATGCTTCCTAAATATATACAAATGTGCACACACATTTACTATGTAAACAAAAACTTTTATTTTGGATGTAATTAATCGCGATTAATCGTTTGACAGCTCTAGTTAAATATGATAAATAGTGTTTGTTTTGTTTTAATTTCTCATGTCCAGTCCCGAATCCTCCTCTCAACGTGTCGCTCAAAATCATCCACCTCAGCGGTCGAGGAGCGTCCCACAATGCATCAGTCCTCCGGCGGGCACGTGACGTCCCTGCGGCTGAAGAACAGGAAGAGGAAGTGAACGGTGTGGAGATGAGCGTCACGCAGACGCCACTAAACAACGTCACTGTTTATAGCAGCACAGCCGAACCCAACAGCACTGAGCTGCTGTGGGCGGAGCTGACAGGAAGCCCCGCCCCCACCGAGGAGCAGGAGGAGGAGTTTGTGAACGTGCTGGTGCCAGAATATGAGGACTCTAATGAGCCGGGGTCAGCGATGGATGTGACCTTTGAACCCAGTGTGATGCCCAAGCCACTGCCGCCCATCCTGCTGGAGCTGCGCTGGTTACCGCCGCGGCCGCCCACCGCTTACGACGGATTCAACATCTACATCCACCGCGATGGTGAGAATCATCGCGTGTTTTACACAGCAAAAAACCTGATGTTTGTGTAAACCCTCTTTATAGTCATTTCCAGTGTTGGGAAGGTTACTTTGGTGTAATCCCGTTTGTAATCGTTAACATTTTCATAAGTAACTGTAATTTAATTACACATTTTTTCTTAGTAACTGTAACTGATTACAGTTACATTTCTTTTGTAATTAAATTACGTAACGCCGTTACATGTAACTAGTTACTCCCCAACACTGGTCATTTCTGTGTTTATTTCCTTGTTGTTTGAGCAGGAAACTCCACCAAAACAGTCAGCGTTGATGTGAAATAAGGCAGTAAGAATTAATAAATTGAATAAAACATTTATAAATACAATAATAAATGAAGTAAAATAGGGAGTAATCATTAATAAATCAAAATAAAGTTTAAATAAATAAATAAAAATAATAAATGAATTGAAATAGGCAGTAATAATAAATCGAAATAAGACGGTTATAAATGAATAGGAATGTAACGATGAACCGCGAGCCAGTTGAAATCGATTAATTTATAACTAAATAAAAACAAAAAAAATATTACTGTTATAATATTTCACTGCAAAATAAAAACTGAGTATTTGAAATAGATTAATATATATATATTATATATATTTGCATTACAACCGTAACATTACAGTACTAATATTTATGGTCTTAATTTAAACCATCAATCGTTTATTTTGACGGAGAACCGTCTAACCCTTATACCAGACGTTTCATGTTAATAGTGTAGCTGTAAAAGTGTATCACAGCATGTCACGTGACCCGCTCTCCGCTCTCTGATAGGAGAACATCACCAGTGACATCATCAGCAGCCTGACCCCCGGCGCTCAGTACAGAGTGATGGCTTATCACACGAACGGGCCGCTGGTTAGTCCCCCGTCCGAGCCGGTCATCATCGACATCGGTGAGTGCAAAGACAGTCAAACCAAGCTTCAGCATTTCTCACATTACCACGGTTTATTTGCTATAGTTTAGAAAGTGGCTCAGAGTTGAACTGTGTCAGAACAAACTCATCTTGATCATGATAGAAAGGTATGTAATGAATTCAGCTGTTAAATATAAGAACACAATTAGATAATACCAATCTAGCTCAACCGATTACCAAGCAATGCTTTATTTAGTTCAGTCTGTGGTGTAAAAAGATCGCATTAGCAATTAAAGAAAAACATGCTCAGCTCAAAGTGTCTGAATCATTTTTAATCCCAAATTGTACTGAGTTTTTGGGTTTAATATGTCACAGTTCACTTTATTTTGCTATCTTCACTTACAACTATCCACCTTATTTTTCAACGTGGAAGTAAGCCACATTAATGTGCGTCAATGTGTTTATAATGAACTCTTTCCCCGCCAGCGTTTTTGCTGATTTTCACTAAAATTTCATGGCCCGCAGAATATTTTGTTGTGTGAATATCTGAACACGCAATACATCACAATAAAATCAGACCCTCTACTTTCAAACAAAAAAACCTGTTTAATTCTAGCTTCAAGCATTGTTTTTTAATCATCACTTGAATGTAGGTAGGTTTCATAAGAAAAGCAACATTTTGAGCAAATTGCATTTTTATCAAGTACTGCATCTGGATCATATTCGGTAATATTATCAGATGAGATCGCCGCCACCGCGTCCGTCATCGCCTCTGTGGTAACCACACACACCGCTAACTGCTTAACATCACACACGCTGTCCTTAAAGAGTCCTACATTCAATCTAAAGGCCTTTCATCATTGTCAGAGATCTTTAGGGATGGATTAACAGGAATCACGATACGGCCTCGTGTTTCAAAATAAAAGTCCTGGTGCATTTCAGGCGTGTTTGCAATTAAAAGTCCCGCGTTATGCACAACGTTGTTTTTTTCTTGATATTATTGGTATCCGTGTTGGGTAAGTTACTCTAAAAAAGTAATTAATTACTAGTTACTAATTACATCTTCAACAGTGTAATTAGATTACTGTACGAATCTGTCTGTCTGTCTGTCTATCTATCTATCTATCTATCTATCTATCTATCTATCTATCTGTCTATCATTCTATCTATCTGTCTGTCTATCTATCTATCTATCTATCTATCTATCTATCTATCTATCTGTCTATCATTCTGTCTGTCTGTCTGTCTATCTATCTATCTATCTATCTATCTATTTCTGTGTCTTATCTATCTATCTATCTATCTATCTATCTATCTGTGTCTGTCTGTCTGTCTGTCTGTCTATCTATCTATCTATCTATCTATCTATCTATCTATCTATCTATCTATCTATCTATCTATCTATCTATCTATCTATCTATCTATCTATCTATCTATCTATCTATCTATCTATCTATCTATCTATCTATCTATCTATCTATCTATCTATCTATCTATCTATCTATCTATCTATCTATCTATCTATCTATCTATCTATCTATCTATCTATCTATCTATCTATCTATCTATCTATCTATCTATCTATCTATCTATCTATCTATCTATCTATCTATCTATCTGTGTCTCTCTGTCTGTCTGTCTGTCTGTCTGTCTGTCTATCTATCATATTGTAAATATATAAATTTCATCTAGTTGCATTTCTTATTTTTATTTAGTTTAACTTCATGTACTAAAATAACAAACTAAAACCAAAACAAAATTAATAAAAAACTAAATAGGCATACAAAAAAAGAAGAAGAATTACTAAAAATTACAAAAAAATCAAAAGGTTTTGTTTGAGTTTTTTAGTCTATTTTCTGTTTTACTTTATTTTAGTAGTTTTAGTAAATTTGTTGTTTTTGTTCATATTGGTTAGTTTTTGTTTGTTTCTTAATAGTCTGAATAATGCTTTAGTATTAATATTAAATTACAAAAGATAAATTGAAACTATAGTATCTCAGTAAAACTAAAATGAGTCTGGTGCAGTTCATTTGACTGAAAATCTGCTTTAATGTAGGGTTTGGAGTCAGAATCCTCGTTCCTGTAATCATTTACTGAAGCAGCTCAGATGATCTGTAGAGATGCTAATTATGATGCTTCATGAGTCACGGCTGAGACGGGAGGAATACAAATATTGCGTTTATGCGTAATTATTATAATCATATTTAATGGGACTCTGCATGCAGGCGAGGTCCGAGGTGCTAATTAACCCCTTCATTTTTTTCAGACATGAAAATATCCCTTTGAAATAATCAATAATTATTATTTTTTAAATGTTTTGAATGTGTGTAAAAATAATTGTGTTTTATGGTCGGTCACAATTGTGAAAATGTGTGTACAGAATTAACATATTTCTGCAGTCATTAAATGTGTATGTATCTCAGCCCAGCTG